CCAGGATGGTCTCGATCTCTTGACCTTGTGATCCACCCGCCTCGGCCTCCCAAAGTGCTGGGATTACAGGCGTGAGCCACCGCGCCCGGCCAAAGTTCTACTCTTGATAGCATTTATCTTTTTGGGGAGTCTCCCAAGCTCCAAAGGATAAAAGCAGAGTAGAATCAGTATATACACAGAATCAGTAGAATCAGTATATACACAGAAGTCCGTATTGTAAAGGCTATAAAGACTTGCAGCACAGTGAGACGATGCCTTCTGCTCCTTCACACTGCATACAAATTATGTGAATTATGTTGCGTATATCTTGGTCCACTGCCTGGCTATCCTGTCGTGTTCTGCTCTGTTGGTCAAATACCGAGTGGCTATGCTTCCAACCAGAGGATCCGCAGGGTTGCAGTCTGTCAAAAGGGAGCAAATAGACAGCAAAACCTGTGTAATAGTCAAAGCGGGACTCCAGTTGTCTTTAAGGATGTCCAGACAGATGACTCCCTGACTGTTGATGTTGCAGTGATAGATTCTGGGGCGGAAAATAACCTTTGGTGGCTTAAATGGATACTCTGATGAAAATGTGATATCCGGAAAAAACACACCACCTTCATAAACAGAACCCGGTGGACCAAGTATAGTTGGTCTCCATTCATAAATGTTATCTCCTTTAGGCCCAGCACTGCAATTAGGAGGAGGATCAAGGGTTATTTCAGCTAGCTCCTTCTGAATTCTTTTAGCACTGGTGAATAACTTGGCAGTGGTTTTGCTAGAGAGTTTGGTGTTTTTCTTCTGCTGGGTGGCAGAAGGCTTTCTTTCTTCTTGTTCTTCAGGCTCTGGAGTGGTTGGATCTTGCTGGTCTGCATCTGAACTGCCGCTGCTGGTGCTGGGGCTCTCATCATCAGATCTTTGCCCATCACTGGACATCTTGGTGAAGTTATCTCTTGGAAAACTTCTGCAAAGCTCCCAACGCCACCAAGGTTCCTCACTCAATGTTTACATCATGGGCCGGCATTTTGTCCAAAATAGCAAAAAAAAATTAAGAACCCAAGAGAAAAACAAACAAAGCCCCAAGAAGTGAAACAAATTTCCATGCCCACCGCGGCTTGCGGACATTGGCTGTATCTGCCTTTTTTCACTTTCATTGTCTCATTTAATTTTTCCAATAATTTTGTGAGATGGGTGTTACGACCTCCAATTTAAATATTGAACTTGATGTTTCGGGAAAGAAAGTGACTTGTTCGAATGTCTAAACTCTTCCCGTTCTGGCATCCAACCCTCCGCTTAGTCAACTAGACCGAACTTTTGACTACCTATTTTTTCTAGTATTGACAATAAGAGGATATAGATTAAGTAATAATGCCAAGTCTCAGGTTGTCTCATATCTTTTACATTCTTCTGGGTGTTACAGAGGATATACAATGAGTAAGGGGAATATGTGTGCAGCCCTGCCCAACGGTGGCAAGCGGAGGTGTGAGCAGCAAGGGGCGGTGTCAGAGACAGCTTCTGCTTTAGCGTCGATGCTCATTTCAGGGAAGCACTGAAATACTCTGCAAGGAGTGGCTCTTGCTTTTCCAACCCTGGGGGAAGAAACTGCTATGGAAACACTGGAGAGAGTCTATCAACACAAAGATTGTGCTTTGCACTGACATTTTTTCAGAATTAGTTTGGCATATAGGGATTCGGGAGATTTGGGGGCTGAATTGTGGGCAGCTGTTTTAGTGGTTTTTTTTGCGTGGTAATTGTGACATAAACCTTCACTTCCCCCTCTTAGTAACCTGGTTCTTCCTTTTTTCTCAGGTCTTCCTTTGTCAACTACAATGTTCGACTTAATCTTTCTAGACATCGATCAGAGCATATTCTGACATTACTGATTCTTTTTTTAAAAATTAATTAATTAATTAATTAATTTTTTAAAGATGGGGTTTCACTGTGTTGGCCAGGCTGGTCTCGAACTCCTGACCTCAAGTGATCTGCCCGCCTCAGCCTCCCAAAGTGCTAGGATTACAGGCACGAGCCACCACGCCCAGCCATTATTGATTTTTAACAATAAGTGTAATATATGTGATGTGATAGTATAGTAGAACCAATTTTATCTCTGCTAAGTATTAAAAATTACTTGTTTTAATGTAGTTGACGGGGTGATGGATGCAGCAAACCACCATGACACATGGTGGTTTGTATACCTATGTAACAAATCTGCATGCTCTGCACATGTACCCCAGAACTTAAAGTATAATAAAAAATAATAAAATAAAATAAAATGTACTTGTTTTAAAAAATAATAAAAACAATTACTTAGAATTAACAAGCCAGGCCAGCTATGGTGGCTCACACCTGTGATCCCAGGACTTTGGAAGGCTGAGGTGGGCCGATTGCTTGAGATCAGGAGTTCGAAACTAGCCTGGCCAACATGGCGAAACCCATCTATACTAGAAATGCAAAAATTAGCTGTGCGTGGTGGCATGGACCTGTAATTCCAGCTACTCAGGAGGCAGAGGCTCGAGAATTGCGTGACTAGGGGGAGGGAGGTTGCAGTGAGCTGAGACCACTCCAGCCTGGGCAACAGAGCGAGACGGTGACTCAAAAATAAATAAAATAAAATAACAAAAATAAACAGTGTGTGGGAAATAAAATGGCTAGGCTTGGTGGCTCATGTCTGTAATCCCAGCACTCTGGGAGGCCAATGTGGGTGGATCGCTTGAGCTCAGGAGTTGGAGACCAGCCTGGGCAACATGGCAAATCCCTGTCTCTATAGAAAATTAGCTGGGCATGCTGGTGAGCACCTGCAGTCCCAGTTACTCAAATGCCTGGGGTGGGACAATTGCTTGGGCCCCAGAGGTGGAGGTTGCAGTGAGCCGATACTGCACAACTGCGTTCCAGCCTGGGAGACAGAGAGAGACTCTATCTCAAAAAAAAAAA